TCATACACCATATTGGGAGTGTTATGAAAAATCTCCTTACTGCTTTCCACAGCAGTGATATTAATTTATATTCCCACTAATAATGAATAAGAATTCTTCTTTCTCCGTATCTTCATCAGCATGTATTATTTTTTTGTCTTTTGTTTAAATCCAGTCTAACTGGCAATAATATCTTACTGCCATTTTGATTTGCATTTTCCTGATGACTCATGTTGAGGGTTTTTTTCATATATTTGGTATTTGTATGGCTTTTTTGAAAAATGTATATTCACAGCTCTTTTTTTTTTTTTCATGGAACCAGGGATTGAACACTTGCCAGGCAAGTGCTTATTCTATTCTACTCAGCTATCTCCCAGGCCCCTTCTTTGCTTTCATTTCTGTCTCTTCTGATCTTTGTTTGCATTATTAATTCAATTATTTTTAGTATTTCATTTGCTAATCACTTACTACCTTTGTCTTTTTTTTCAGTGATGATTTTTGGGTAGTTTGTTTTGTTTTTGAGACAGGGTCCATGTAGTCTAAGCTGTCCTTTATCTCACTATGTAACCTAGGCTGGCCTCAGACTTGCAGCAATCCTCCTGCCTCAGCCTCCAAGCCCTGAGATTACAGGCATACACCAATATGCCCAGACAACAATACACTCCTTGAAGTTATCACTGAATTCATTCAAATAATATTCCACTACATCATATTTGTCTAGGAATATTATCTTAGTGGACTCCTGACTGATTGTCTTCATACATTTTATTTCTTTTTGTAGATTTTTTGTTTGTTCTGTGGATTGAACTCTGGACATTGCACTTGCCAGGCTGGCACTTACGCCGCTAAGCCATCTCCCCACCCATCCATTCTATTTCTATGTATATTAAAAATCCTATGTGACACTAGTAATTTTTTTCTTTAGTCCATTTTCTAAACGTTTTAGTGGCTTTTATATTTGCTTGCATATTTAACAATACTGGTAGTCTCCTTTACTTCTGTACATTTAAATTTCTACCCAGCATAACGCTTAAGATTTTTACTGTGAAAGTTTAAGCTGATTAAATTTATGTGCTTTTATCTTTCTAAAAACTAATCTTGTCTATTATTTATGAATAATTATTTTAGTGGGCTTGAAATTCTAGGTTAATTTTTTCATTCCTTTATATATTTAGGTATTTAAAATGTCAAGGTGTTTTCTTCCATCATGCATAGCTTCCAGTGAGAAGTCTGATGCCATTGTCATTTTTTGAATTTAAAGCATTTTTTTCTTCTGTATGACTTTAAAGTTATTTTTATTCTTGGCTTCAAATTGATTACAATTTTATTAACATGCTTTACTTTATATTTCCTGGGCTTTGAACTGATTTTCTTGGATTGCATATAATTTTCAGCAAGTTTAGAAAAACTTTAACCATTATTTCTTCACTATCTTTCTATGATCCCTTTAGTTTCAATCTTGAATTCTATTTATACACATGTAGGTGATTTAATGTTATCCCACAGCTCACGGGCTTGCTGTTAAATTACTTTTGGTCTTTTTTCCCACTCTGTGTTTCACCCAGGAAGTTTCTGCTTTTCGTCTTCAAGTTTAATAACTTTTTCCTTATATTGTCTAGCCTATTTTTAATTCTGTCTAGTGTAATCATTTCTAGAACTTTCTATCAGTCTTTTCTACCTCTTCCATTTTGTTTCCCCACTTGTATATCCTTCCCATGTGGATTTATTAATTACAACTCTTTTAACTGCTTTATCTAATATGCTGACATTGGGTAATTTCTCAGACAGTGTCTATCAATTGATATTTTTCTTTCTTATGTTTTCTTTCTTATGTTTTCCTTTTTTACATATGTGATAAGTTCTAATGGAATGACAGACATTGTGAGCTTTACATTATTGGTTGCATTTCTTTATTTCTTTGATTGGCTGTATTTTGCAAAACACATCTTAGGCTTTGTTCTGTGACACTAAGCTATCTTTTCCATGTCTCTAATGGAGCTACAATAATTATGTGATGATTAAAGACAATGTTACTCTAGAGATGTGTAAGATGCTGATTTCTTATTAAGAAAAGCACCCTTCTATTTCTTGTGTAAGGATGATTCATAATTAAAGAAAGCTACAGGACATAAGAGGTCCTGTGCTGTGACATCCTGTAACTCAGTGGTATCCAAAATTTTGTGATCAAGGAGATTATGGAACCACAAAGGAAAGTGATCAGTGATGTAGAGTGTGCCTAAGGAGAGTCAACTAGAGAGAAAAAAATTCTCTCAGGCTTTCATGGAGAGCAAATTGGTCAAGCAATGTCCGTGACTCATCCAGACGGCTGACACTGACAAAAGATTCACAAGGTGCTATACATGGTTCCAGCATAAATCTGGAGGGGATTTGACCTTGTCAGAAACAAAAGTTACATTTTTAGTTATATAGGTCTTGCTTTAACTTGGTCTTAACTATCTAGCAGAAAAGTATAACCACAAGGCATAAAAAGTAATGACATATTAATATGCTGAGTTGTGAAAAGCTCAAGTCAACAACTTCTGACAATTGCCAGTTCTGCTGATAACCCACTACTATTATGGACTATTGAACCATATTGGGTTATTTTGCTGAATTCAAGTAGCTACAATCTTTAGACTAGTTTCAAGTATAAAAAGGTTCTTTAAAGACTTCTCCAAATATAGCTCCACTAACTGCAGTGGAACACTTATATCTGAAAAAACAAAACAAAAAAGGGGGATATGTTGGGAAGCTAGGAAATTGATGAAATAAATGTAGGCAGAGATGGGGCATGGTGGCGCACACCTGTAATCCCAGCTCTTAGGAGGCTGTAAACAGGCAGATCATATTGAGTCCAATCTAGTACTGAGACCCTGACCACCCTATAGACTCTTCCCTAAAAAATACAAAAAATAAAAATTAAAAAAAATAAAATATATGTAGGTGAGACTTGGCCCAGCGCCTAAAGCAAACAAGCTACCTCACTCCAGAAATGAATATCCTGTCTGGTTAAGGTTTGCTATCAGCTGCTAGGCAACCTAGTGTCATGCATTACTAACTTCACAAAAGTGTAAATAAAGGACAGTTTTGTTGTGAAAAAAAGGCGGGAGAAAAAAATATATGTGTACACAAGAGAGTTAGAATAGATATACAGCCACTTTCCTCTTAGTTCACCGAGAATAAAAGTTGGTGCTAATATTGTTTAGACAAGATATCATGTCTGCATCTTGTCCTCTGAATACTACTATGAAGACAACAATATGCAATGTATATTAATACATATAATATACAATGTATGCTAATATATTGTAAACATTCTACTAACCTGTTTTGAAACTGTTTCATAACTATTTTACCTTTTTTCTCATTAAAATGAATAAAAATTATTTTAAAAGAGAGGTAATTCACTTTTTCACTACTGTTAGCTAACTACATTCTTAAATGCTGTCACAATTTAAAGTATACAGATTAAATAGAAATAAAACCTAATACACAGTTGAATTCTGCAGCATACTACTCAGAATAAATGAATTGGTTTAAAACTAAGTAAAAATTTAGAGTAATTAATTAAAAGTAACTAAATTTAACCAAAATAAATGTAAAAATTTTTGTATATTTTTTTATAATGCCACAGAGTCTTGAACTTCGTGCACATATAGACTTTTCTTAAATTAAGAGTTTGAAAGGGCCAGCCAAATAGCTCAGAGTATTAAAGTACCTGCAGGCAGACACAGGGGCTGGGGTTCAATCCCTGGGCCTGCTGTGCCAGCCCTGCCCCCAGGGTGCACTGAGGCAGCAATTGAGACTGGGCATGGAGGCGTGTGCCTGTAATCCCAGCTCTTGGGTGGCTATAAACAGGAGAATCACTGAGTCCGATCTAGTAGTGAGACCCTGAACACCCTGTAGACCCTTCCCTAAAAAAATACCAAAAAATAATAATTAATTAAAAAATAAATCAATAAAAATGTATTCACTTTTGAAGCAATGTAATAAATATGTGCATGTATGTAAGTGAAATATTATATGTCATGTATATGTGAAAATTTAAGATAAGCTTACGCATTTACAAAATTTTGTCGCTAAATGGTACATATAAAGTCTTGATAAATTTTTTAAAAGCAGATAAATAGCAGATTTCCAAAGGTATGATAACGATAATATATTGAATCACCTCAAAACTCCTTCTGAAACATAAAGCTGCCTGTGGTGGCAACTGAAATGCAAAATGCATTTTTTTTCATTGTTCTTAGTGTCACATTAAAAAATTAATTGAAAAGTTCAGCACAAAGATCTCTTCCCCTGTGTTGTCTTCTAGGAATTGTGTGCATCCAGATCTTATGAGTCTTTAATCCATTTTGTATTAACTTTGTATGTGGCTCATGATTGTGGCTGTACACACTCTGTTTTCCCAACATCGTTATTAGAGACTTTCCTTTCCCCATTTCTTATTCTTGGTGCCATTATCAAAAATTAGTTGACTGTGTATAAGAATTAAGTTATCTTCAGTAGTAAAGATTTGTACTAGAAGAAAATCTAAACTCACCTACCAAATTGAGGCAAATTTAGTTAAAAAATAAAGTAAAAAAGAATACAATCATTTTCATCTAGACAGCCAAGCACTCGCGATACACTTCTGGTGATACATCAGCCCCTGTCATCACCTCAGTTAATTGGACTTTTCTAGAATTCATGTAAAAGAACTTTTGATCTCTCTTATAGAAAATATATTCAATTCCAGCACCAAATATGGGGCTGGCCCTGGCCCCAGGAGTGCTGAGCTGGCCACCTGGTCTGGGCGTGGTGGCGCACGCCTGCAATCCCAGTGCTAGGGAAACTTAAATAGGAAGATCATTATGAGTCTGAGTTGTGTAGTGAGACCCTGTACCAAATGCATTTGTTTAAAAAAAAAATGGTGCTGGCAGCGAGGGAAAGGGATGCTTTAGGGCTTCTTTCTCTGAGTGCAGCTTATATTGTGTGAGTGGAACGAGAGTAGGCTTTTCCCAAGAAAACAGCTTCAGTAAAGTGCAACTTTTATGACAAGAATACAGTTTTCTAAGGCATGTTTATTAATACTAAAAACCTTATAGTTAAAACAAAATTTCTTTTAAGGTCAATGGCTATTTTTCATATTGCTCAATCTTACATAAACAAGCCAGCTGGCTCATGGATGGTCTTGGTCTAGAAGCAGTTAAAAATGCAGGTAATTCAGAACACAATATGGATTTCATGGAAACCTAAATATTTGGTAGAAGTTTTATTGAAATCAAACTATTTCAAACTCTAGTGACTTCAGTGGCTAATTTTATGCAAATCTTAACACATTGCAATGTAGAAACTATTTCGAAGATGAAGAAATTGCCACAAGGATAGTACTGGTTATTTTTTCTTTTTCTTCTGGTTGGCAGGAGCTAGGGCCTTCTTTTCTGTCTCTTTCTTTTCTGGCTCTGCCTCCTGAGCTGTCTGTGCCTCTAACTTCAGGCGCTGGGCTTCTAGCATCTTCCGTCTGTACTCTTCTCGGATGTCCAAGATTTTCTGTCGGGCTTCATCTAAGGAGTCCTGGTTCCAAAACAAAACCTCAAACAAATCAGTACCACTGACAAAGGTTCATGGTCTCAGAAAGAAAAAAAAGAACAATGTCTTTATCATTCCCTTGTAGTAATAGATTCATGAGGGCAATTATTGAAAATAGTTATTGAATCATTTGAAATTGCACATGGCCGTGTGACTTGCTGTAACAAATGAGAGTGAAAAAAAATGTCATCTGGGGACAGCTACAGTAACAACCAACACACACCTTACTATATGCTCTTCCTCTACCACAATAATACAGCAGAATTTTCTGTATGGAGTCTCCTGTTAAGGTATGTGAATAAATGTAATAAAAAGACACTCTCCTGATTGTATTGGATATGTCACTGGAATGAAAAACATTCTTTTATTGCTTTAAGCAAGGGGTGAACTAAAGACTGTCAGACACAGCTGGCTCATTCTTTTTCTAAATAAAGTTTTATTTATGCATACGTAATCTCATCCATCCAAGTGTTATCTTTTATTGTTTGTTAATAATGGCAAGGTTGAGTGGCTGCAACATACAGCCTATGAAAAGATCCCATTTTTAGTTGCAAAGATAAAAACATCTACTTTCTGGTACTTTACATAAAATAAGTTTGCCAGATCCTGTATTAAGCCACGTGAAAATGGGACTTCTGCTACTATGGGTTAATCATAGTCCTCTCTGACTGAAGCTTGGCTGCCGAGGGGAGTCCACATCACAGAGGCAGAGAGAGGAGTCCTGGGGGCCTTGGAGCAATGTGCAGAGGACCGTGATGGCTTTCTCCAGACACTGTAAGAAGCAGCTGGACTTAGGTTGCATTTGCAAGATCGAGTTGAGAGGTTTTAACACTAGATTAGGAATGAACAGTGAGTCAAGAATGTCTCTGAAATTTCTGTTCCTTGCCACTGGAAGACAGCAGTTGCATTTACTGAGATGAGGAATATCGGTGGTGTCCTATGTGTGTGCAGAGCTGAGAGAGAAGGCAAGAACTGGGGAATCTGAATCAGAGAGGTTCAGCCTGAAGAACCACTAGACAAGCAAGAAGAGATATTTGGTTAGCATATTCTTCAAGCAGGCCAGTATTGGAAAGGAAAAGGAAAGCTCGTTATTACTGTGGAAAAATGTTTCGATAGTCCTGTAGCCTTCAGTGTGTGTGGTGGGGTGGGGGGAGATAAGCTGTAGGGACAAGGAAGGGAACAAACACCAATCCTCACCCTCCATGTGGAAAGTCATGTGTTTACTTTTTAAATTTTTTTTCATTTCTGGAATCACACTCCCATGTTGAATTAAGCTTGGTTTCCCACAGTTCAGAAATCATTTTGGGGAGTGGGGGACATTTATAAGTGAAGCACCTTTATTTTCTGCTAAATTTGGTAACTATCACTTGGCTACAAAAAATTGAGGAAGTGATATAAACTTTTTAAAGTATAACTTGGTAAAACCTAATTACTTCATTTTCACTTTTTACTTTCACCTTCTGACATAATGATGCCACCAATTGCTGGCCCTTTGGGAATTCTGGAAGGATTCTGTAGAGCAAATTGGGCTGATTCTTAAGTGCTCCTTATGCCAGTATTGCACGTGTCTGTCTCAGGTCTGCTAATGGAGTCTTCAGCTATTTATCTGACAAGTTCATGAACAGTTTTGTTGTTGTTGTCTCTCCCATTTTTCCCATCTGTGAGGATTTCTAATGTGATGCTTTAAAGATTTTTAGGAAGTGAGTGAATATGAGACGGATGTGACACACCGGCCATCTTTTCCAAAAGTTCTGAATTATAGAGCCAAATGTTTTAACAACTTCTCTCCATTCATATGATTCTCACTTCTTTTTCACATTACAAAAAAAAAATTGTTACCTGTGACCACACATGTACTGTTAAACTCACCTGCATTTGCGTGTACTTGTTCAGGACCTCATTAAACTCTTCTTTTCTATCAGTTTTTCTGGAGCTAAGGACTCTGTTCTTATACTCCTGAAACTGACGAATTTCTTCTGCCTTTTGCATCGCTCGCTGTTGCTTCAGCTCATCTGTTAGCAATAGGGGTTCATCTTTTGTTTTCCTCAATATAAAACCATCAGAAGAAATACATAAGTCACTTGAGAATTTTAGAATAAATTTCAGAAACCAAAGATAATATAAAATCATGCCAAGAGTTTGGGGGTCTGAATCCAATCAAACCTTAGGAGCAGAAAGAAGAAAATACTAATTTTAAATAGGCTGTGATCCATTTACTAAATCACTGATGTTTTAGGAAAAAACTTTGAAAAGTATCAGGAAATCTGGAAGCATCACTTGGTGAGGTGGTTGTGAAAGCGGCGTTCAAAGGCCAGGACCCTCGGTAGATTTTCCTCTTGAATTTATGCAGTTAATCAATCTTGACAATGTTTTCAAACTTATAAATATACATGAGTAACTATCTATTGATCTTACTGCCTCATTCTTAAGAAAATGGAGTCTAATCAAGTGAGGGCAGCTGGTATGATGGGAATTTTCTGTAGCTCAGCTTACCTTAATCAAACTTCAAATTAAGTTTACTAACAATATTTAAATGTTTTATGATTGATTTAATAAAACAACTGCTGAACTTGAGATGTCAGGAATCTCTAAAAATTTAGACACCCTGAAGATATATTGAACATGAAACTTCAATTTTTCAGTTGCTTAGCAACTGCTTATTGGCAGTATATCCAAAATTCTATGAACACAGATGTCTTCGTTAATCATATTGACTAAAACTTACCGTACA